CTTTATCTTTCAGGCTGGTCTGTTCTAATGATTTTGGTCTTTCTTTTAAAAATACCACTTTTAACATTGCAACGCATGCTATATTCAGACAGTGAGTAGTTTTGAGAATTTAAATCCTGAAAAGACCAATGGAGACCCCATGGGATTATGACTTGCACAGAAGAGATTTGGTAATTTAAAATTGTTTCAACATTGTTAGGACTTCCTTTTGAGATACAGAGTAGCAAGAGCAACTGCATGGGTAGGAAGGTAGGAAGAGGCCGAGGCAGGAGAGGCAGGAGTTAAAAAGCACTCTGTGCCCCATTTAATAAAGTGTGTTATAGCCAGTGCCACAAATTTGATTTGAACAATTTCTATTTTTCCCAGCAAAGATGTTATTACAGGTCAATCATTTCCATAAGTGAGAGCACATTTTTGTGTATACTACACTGACAGATGGCTAGAAGACCTCTCTTTCATGATCCCAGGCTGGATAAAAAGGCAATTTACTATCTATAGAACTGTGGGTACACTGGTAATGGAAGAGAATCATTCTTATACAAATAACTCAGTGTTTGAATCTGAACTATCAAATGAATCTGAGCTATAGCCAAATCAATTTGATAAACCATCAGAATATGATTGTACTGGCTCCAGTCTGCAAAGGCAATGCATTAAATTTTCCCCACAGGAAACTGTTTCCCAAAGAAACAGCAATTGCTCGATTGCTTAAAAAAAACAACCTTGAGTGAGTTCAGAATATCAGGTAAAAACTCAGATGGCTGCTGATGTTCAAGGTCAAGACCCGTAAGGGGGAAATGAGGATGCTGAGCTGCTCCTCTGAAGCTTGTTTGTGTGCTGCTGGCTTTCTCTGCGTCTATCTTTCTTTGCAATGGAACAGTGTACCCGTGCACCTTCAGGTGTTCAGAGGTTCCCTATTCTTCACTCAACTAGAAATTTTGCCTTCAGGAAAGGAACTATCATCAGTTTGAGTGTGTGCCCCTTAGTTTTCTTTTCTTAGAATTCCTTGCATATATCCACTGGGGAAAAAGGCCTGAGCCAGTGATGGGGGAAGATTCACCACAGTTGGCTTGTGGAGGAGATATTTTGGAGACTGAGCAAGGCTTCCCAATTCCCAGCACTGGTCCTAGGGCAGTGATTCTCAGAGAGCACTCTGGACCAGCAGCATCAGTTTTACTAGGAAGATGTTAGAGATACAAGTTATCAGGCCTCAACCCTGACCTACTGAATCAAAAATGCTAAAGGTAGGGACTGGGTGTTATGACTCACACCTGTAATTCCAGTGCTTTGGGAGTCCAAGGTGGGAGAATCACTTGAGGCAAGGAGTTTGAGATCAGCCTTGATAACGTAGTGAGACCCTGTCTCTACAACAATAACAGAAATGGCCAGGTGTGGTGGTACACGCTTGTAGTCCCAGCTACTCAGAAAGCTGAGGAAGGAGGATCGCTAGAGTTCAGGAGTTTAAGGCTGCTGTGAGCTATGATGGCACCACTGCACTCCAGCATGAGTGATTTAGAAAACCCCAAACCCCCCCCCACCCACAAAAAAAAACCCATCCAACTCTGAAGATGCTGCTCTAGGGCAGCTGAGAACCACCACTCGCAGTTGAGGTGGCTCATAGCCGAGTCTACTCTGGGAATTGCTCTCAGCTGACTTACTCCTCCCCAGGAGTTTGACTCCTCCCCAGGGACAGCCTGCACCCAGTGATTCTTGATATGGAGGACTTGCCCCTTACCTTAATTCAGTACAACCTTGAGGACCGTCTTAACTCCAGATCTCCCCATGGGATCAGCTGAGCCTTTTGCTGCAAATGCATTACCCTGATTCTGCTTCCATCAAGCATTCCCTGTACATTCTGAAAGCACCCTCCAGTAAACCTCCTGCATGCAGATATATCACAGTCTTTTTTTGTGTGTGTGGGAGTGGGGACAGCAATCTGACCCAAGGTACAGTCAAGGTCAGCATGATCTGCACCTACTGTGATCTGAATAGCCTATGCATACTCCTATTCCCACCTCTTACCTTGTCACCTGAGTGGGCTGGTCTACTGCACACCTGCACAAGCACCTCTCAGGCCAGGCTTTAGATGGTTTAGTGTATCTGGTTGCAGAAGTGGGATGTGGAATAGGTTATTCGTCTTCTTGCATCTCAAGTCAGTAGGAGGAGAGACTTGAAGAACATCTATGGACTAACCTGAAAGCCCCAGAAAGGGTGGCTTGATGTTAAGGTGAACAATTCTTTTGGCCCCAGAGGGAGGAGAGGAAATTAGCAATTATAGGCCGGGCTTCCAGCCAGGATCCTGCACTGAGATGAAAATATGTGGGAATGTATTATCACTCTCTACCTTTTTAAGTCATGGAGAGTGCTTCCTGATTCCATGGAATTTCTGTAAATTTTATTCACTTAATTCTAGACAGATGTGTTCCTGTGGTAAGAAGGATAAAACAATGGGCCTATAACTTGAGGACCGTGCAGAATTGCTTCCGATGCTTTCACAGAGGTTCTCTTCTTGCCTGTATTCACAGTGGGGCTGGATGGGGGATTCAAGTTTTGTGTTCTCTGTTAAACATTCTTATGAGATACATTGTGCAGTGTCTTAGCCTGGAATCTGCTTGTGCAACCTCAGGAGATGTTCTTCTGTGCCATGTTTATGTAACATTGACTGGTGTTCTTAGACTGGGAGGCTGGTGTTAATAGTTATTTTCCTCTCTATTTTAGATCACAACCAGTTGCAGGGGGCCTCACCAAATAACTTTTAGATGTTGAATTAAACGTATTTATGGCAACATGGTATGGTGGGAACACATGGAATGTGAGACAGAAGACCTAGTTTCTGGTGCAGACTGCCCCTTGTAGTTGCAGTGTGATCTTTAACAGATCACTTCCCTCCTCTGGTTCTGATTTCTTCAGCTGGATAACGAAGGAGTTGGGGGATCTCATCCCACTTCACTATTCTCAGGAGCAGGTAGTAGGTTAAGATGCCATAGATTCAATATTGTACCTGGTACAGGTCACATATGGAAACCCACCCATCACTTAAATATTCTTCCATGAACAGATAGAGATGCCTACTTAGGAACATTCAACACTTTTAGGGCTTTTTGCTAAGTGAAACTGACATGCTGCTATTGTGGGGGTCAAAGACATCAAAAGTACTTGTCAAAATTCATTTGTCTCCCAAGCACTCTAGGAACAGGGAACATGAACTAAGCAGTACAAGTTTTGAGTATTTTGTATACTTGAGTGCACTTGAATCCATGGACTATATGCCCAACACTCTCCATTTATTAGCCCTGGGTCCTTCCTTGTACTTCATAGATATATCATGACTTGATATATTAAGTTGTATATTTAATATATTGCCTGACTCCTCTCTATCTCCATCCCCAATGAGAATATAAGCTTTCTATGAGGAAGAACTTTCGTTTGTTCCCTGCATGGCACAGGATCAGTCCTGCTTAAAAATGTATTTGATGAGTGAAAAAATATTTATGTGTTTGTGTTTTATGCTTCAAATAATATTAGGAAATAGGTATTTTTTGGCCGTTTTTTAGGTGAAGAAACTGAGGCTTAGAGAGGTAAGAATTGGTCTAAAACAAGGAAGTCTGCTCTATATCTCTGCTTTAATCACACTGATACTCCATTTGCATAGGTTGCCTATCTTAAGCCAGGCATTCTCAAATAATCTTTGAACATGGTCAGGATGAGAAATCTACCCTAAAGTGTATATTTATTTCTTCAAAGCAGCAGAATCTCACGTATGGATCACAACACACCCTTTATCATTAATAATAAATATTTAAAATTCTGACTCTCCATACCAGGTCTAATTCTAGAGGTATACAGGCTCCAGCCTGAAGGAGAATATTAGCTATTTGGTGAAGACAAAAGTGACGCATATAGATGGTTGGTGGGTAGGTGGGTAGATAACCACACATGGTAGCATATGCCAACTGCCAAATAAGACATTCAGGTGGGTGGCTCCTAAATGCCTGACTTGACTTCAGGCAGATTACATAAGAATCCTTTAGTAACATTGTAGATTTATTAACATGCTTATCTATTTCTCTGCTCACCATTCCTTCTTGTACCTCATTCTCTCCTTTTGGGTTCCTTTCTTCATTCTTGAAGTACTTTCTACAGTAAATGTAGTAGGTCTTGCTTAGAGGCCAGGAACACATTTTTAAAAAGCCTTTTTGTGATTGTGGTGCAGATTGTCCCCCCACCAAAGAAGGCATAAAGGCCATGAGAGCCACGGGAAGAAGTCGCCGATGGTGAGGTTGTCAGAGGGACTTGTGGAGGTAGAACTTTGGAATGATCCTTGATGGAAGGGGAAGTGTAGGCAAGAAGAGCAGATGGGAATGTCACTTTTGGAGGGAAAGATGGAAGTAAGGAAATGACAAGAGGAGAGGTGCTGATGCAGGGCTATGAGGCACAGAATGTATCACAAGGGATTTGGAAAGAGGATCCAAAAATAATGTATATATAGGTCTCATTGGATTGAAGGAAGCTCCTGGGTGTTGAGGATGATGGAGAATTGTGCTTTCCTTTCCAGGGAAGAGACACATAGTCGAGTGGATGTGGGTCTGTACCATGAGTTAGATCAGTTTAAATCCCTGCTGTAACTCTTGTATAACCTTGAGTGAGTGAATTAACCTCTCCAGAAAAGCCAGTTTTTCCTTCTGTAAAATGGGAATAAGAGGTCCTACCGCAGGGGGTGATTATAAGGATTAAACAAGAAAATGCATCTTAGCTTCTTAGAACATCATCTGACACTCTGTGCATGCTCATTACATGTTATTATTAGTATTGCTTTTTTATGGAGAGTTAGACTGTGGATAAGCCTTAAATTGTCTCTCTAAATCGTGGCAGATGACATGAATAAAAATTGAACTTGATGGCCAGTCCTGCCTTGGGAGCTTCTCCCCTAGCTGCAGAGAGTTGACTTCTTACTTACACAAACTGAGCTCTTACACACAGAAATGGGGAAAGCTACTCACAGAATGACTGGTCCAGAGGCTCCGTGGAAAACATCATTAGGCAATTCTTCTAAATTATTATTATCGCTTAGATTCCTGGGGATGGGGTTGAGGAAAGAAGAAGGAAAACACAAAGCCACATAAATATTGCTGTTATAAGAGCCATTTCCCTTTAAATGGGCTGGAAGAATAGTCAGGGCTACTTACAGCTCATCTAGTTGGGTTCCATTGAATGCACAGTTGTGTATTTCTTGAATCCCATTCTTATTCAGCCATCTGAAATAAAAGGCTTATTATAAAACCAATAATGTCAGATGCAAACAATACAGGGGTTTCATAATTGGAAGCACTGAGCAAGGGCAGACAGCACAGGTTAGAGGCATACAGAAAATGCCACCTTTAAAGCCTGGGGACACGGGTGGGAGGAAGACTGATTTATTGCTGTATAATCTTTTGTAACTTTTGAAGTTTGTATTATGTGCATGTATTACCTCTTCAAAGGAATAAATGAAATTTAAGTTTGAAAAGGCACACTTAGGCAGAGCAGCCTGGATTCTGTAACTAAGGTCTTTACACACATCATTTGTGTATAGAGAAGCAATGCGGGCAGCGACAGATCTTTCTCATCCTGAAGGACAGGAATCGTACAATTATTGAACAAGTGTTTATAAGACAGAGAAAGAACGTTTTGTGTCACCTTTCTCTAAGGCCTGAAGCCTTTCACCCATGATCACCCACAGCAGCAGGCCTGGCTGTCATCAAAAGTGATCTAATTAAGTTGTCAGACAACCTGAACATCTCCTGTGACCCATAGGGACCTGGTTATTGGAGGTTTGTGGAGATGGCTCTGGGTTAAGCCAGAAAGGAAGAGAAATCAATTACAGAGAATGTGGGCTGTGGCAGGGCAAGGTGATGTGAATGGGCATGGGAGGAGGTTCTGGGGGAGGTGGAGATGGGTGTAGAACAGCCATCCTGATTGTGCTAAGAAGGTCAGTGAGCAAGGTTCCCTGGACAGTGGAGCCCAAGGACACCTTGGGCTACAGCTCTGCCTTGCTCTGCTCCTGAGTGGATCTGAAAGCAAAAACAGATACCAAGGTCAGGAGAGCTTAGCCTGAAGAGCCTCTGACCACCTGCTCCTGTTTTGCTGTCAAGTTCTTTACCCTGTCTGGCTTAGTGGGTTTGCAAATGACACTGTTCAGAAAGCTGACCCAGAGAAGCTCCTGTGTGTCCAGGACTCTTTCCTGGCCTGCCACGGGCAGCCAGAAAACACTTAAAGTCACAGCGGAACATCTGTATGTCTTTTTCCTCCTCTTGAAAATTAATTAGCTAAAGAAATCCAGAAAAGTGCGATGTAAATCTTTTAAAACATCCACAACCAGTTGGTGGGTTCCGATGGCAAAGAAGTTGCTATGCACCCCCATGCCATTTGAGAAAGCCTATCCCAGGCACATCCGGACTCCTGACTGTTGCAGGATAGTGGAAGTTGCTGGGGCAGCTGTGGGATGTGGATCCCTGGGGGATTTGGATCAAATACAGGTTTCAGCAAACTTTTTCTGTAAAGGGCCTGATAGTAAAGTTTAGGTTTTATGGGCCAAAAGGCAAAAATAAAAAATATTATGTAAGTACTTTAGGTACTTATGAAACAATTTCCACAATTTTTTATTGACCAAATTCAAAGTGTAATAATTTTTTTTTTGTAATATAGGTCTAAATTAAGAGAATTTTTACTGGGGGATAATATTTTGCTTAACTTAGATCCAATGTTAGTGTTTGCTGTCTTAGCTCATGAGCTGGATTTGGCCTCTTGGTTATATGTAGTTGGCTGATCCTTAATCCATACAGGCTCCACCTATTTGCCTGTCGATTAGATAATTGATATTTCTTGCATATAACTGTCCTGTAAATCGATGTTGCTATAATCAAATAAAACATAAACTAATTTAAAATAATTATTGTATTCAAATATCCCTTTGTCTTTATGGATTATCTCAATCAACAGATACCACCATGTGGGGAGGAGGATGGTATTTCATGCTATCAACAGTGGATCATCACACACATAAAAAATTATGTTCAGAACTGCTGCCCTTGGGTTTACGTTAGTCTGTGGGAATCTAAAACTAGTAACAAAGGGAAACTGACATTTATTACACGCACCCCTGGTCTCTTAAGAGAGGAAGTACCTATATGAAAACCAGATGATGATGATGATGATGACCACAACAACCTAGGCAGAACATGAACTAAGGAATAACTGCATCACAGGCTTACCTGAACCCTTTTGTGTCCTTGGGAACAGAGCAGAGGCTAAGGAAGCTACAGAAGCACACTTTGCTCTCACCCTAAAGAGTAGAGGTGCTGGGGAGTTGGCCCTTTAAAACTTATTGAGGGTCAGGCAAGGGAGATGGGCTGACTGAGGAACAGAGGAAGCATGTATGAAGCAGGCCTCTCCCGAGGCCAGAGTGTCCTGGGAGCTGTCATGCATGTCGCCTCGTTTTATTTCTTCTGAATTAGGACATTCTCCTGGCTGGTCATAGCTGGGTGCTTTCCCCATTCAGGCACTCTGCTTACCCGGGCTCAGTGCGGGTTGGGAAGGGCTCAGAAGCCTCTACATAGTGGGTTTTTATTGCTCACTTCTCTGATTCACTAGGCTAGTGTCTGATAATCCTTCACTGCTGGTTGCTTTAAAAATATATTTACTTTTAGAACAGGGCCTCAGAATTTTTTTCAACTTTCAGTTTCAGGGGAGCATGTACAGGTTTTTTACACAGGTAGTCTGCATGTCCTGGGGTTTGGTGTACAAATAATTCCATCACCTGGGTGATAAGCGTAGTACCCAATAGATATTTTTTCTGATCCTCTCGCTCCTCCCTCAAGTAGGCCCCAGTGTCTGTTGTTCCCTTCCTAGAATCCATGTGTTCTCATTGTTTAGTTCTTATAAGAGAGAACATGTGGTATTTGGTTTTCTGTTCCTGTGTTAGTTTGCTTAGAATATTGACCTCCAGCTCTATCCATGTTGCTGTAAAGGATATGATCTTGTTCTTTTTTATAGCTGTGTAGTATTCCCAGAATTTTGAAAATGGCTATCCATAGAATAATTTGACAGTCATCAGTGCCATTTGCCACGCTTTTTTTTTTCTTTCCTGAGTGTGCTTAAATGTCTGCATAGGAAGAAAGCACCCCTGCATGGAAGCTGCTAAACTAGAAACGATTGGAGACTTAAGTTGTGTTAAGTATGAATTACGTGATTTTATTGTCTATGGATTAAGGGACAGCCAAAATAAGAACAATAGATACTGTTTCCACAAAAGTGAATTTATCCTTTAGAGAGATGTTTGAGAAACATTCACTCTTGAAAGAAAACTCCTTTCCTGAAAAGTGTGTTCGTAAATTCCGAGAAATTAGGGTCCATGAACAGGAGTTAGGAAAAAGCAGACAGGATCTATATGTTTCTTTTGTAGCTTTGGGTTTGCAAAGCTATGTCAGAAGTTCTTACTTCCTCGGGTTCTTTGCCTCTACTTGGGGAGAGTTGAGACCAGGTCACTTAAAGTGCTTTGCCTTCTGTCTTACGGTTGGACAAAAAAATCAGGTCAGTGATACTGTGAGAGCAATATAAACACACTATGCAAAACTATGAGAATGATATGAGCATACTCCCACTTAATTATATATTTTCTATAAAAAGTTGAATAAGTTTGCCACATTATAACATTTATTTTAAGTCTCTGTATTTAAAATGAACATAGATGAACATATTTTAAGAAAGATCCAAATAAGCCTAAACATCCAGGTATAACTGATTACATTTATCACTAATCTCCCTCTGTGAAGTAGCCCAGGAATCCTTTTACTGTTACATTTGTTTCACAATCCAGCAGGTCAACACAACTCATGTATTCACTGTTTTCCACAAACTCTTTGTATTATTATTTTTTTTATTTTTTATTTTTTATTTCTATTTTATTTTATTTTATTTTTTATAATTTTTTTCTGAGACAGAGTCTCACTCTGTTGTCCAGGCTGGAGTGCAGTGATGCAGTCTCGGTTCACTGCAAACTCTGCCTCCCTGGTTCAAGCGATTCCCCTGCCTCAGCCTCCTGAGTAGCGGGGATTACAGACGCCTGCCACCCTGCCCAGCTAATTTTTTTTTTTTTTGTATTTTTGGTAGAGATGGAGTTTCACTGTATTAGATAGGATGGTCTCAACCTCCTGACCTCGTGATCCACCCGCCTTGGCCTCCCAAAGTGCTTGGATTACAGGCGTGAGCCATCGCTCCTGACCAATTATTTTTATTTTTATAAAAGGCAGGTGGTCTTCATGGTCTTTATTATTCTGTTCCCTCTGCCTGCCCCTTGCCAACTCCGTAGCTAACTACCCTCATCTCTAAAAGCCCATTTTAAAAACATTTTCTTAGCTTGCTTTCCCTTATTTAACTCTTCCTTTAACTCTCGCATCACAGACTAGTCAGATTAAATTATTCCTTCTTTACTCCTAGAATAAGTGCTTTTTTTTCCTTTGTATATCATTCATTCTGATTGCATTTTAGTTTATTCCTTTTGTTTTCTCTTGCTTACCCTTTCTGTACCCAATCACCTCATCTCAACACACACACACACACAACCCCCCACACACACACCCACTTCACTTCAAATATCATGAGCTTACGCGAAATGATTCAGTATCACTCACCTATAACTTTTGTTCTAATTATGTATTTTGAATACATTCCTTTGATTTAATTGTATTGTTCCCTGCATACATTCCATTTCTATGCTAATCTGTTTTCAAACTTTTTCCATTGTTCTCTGTAATTAATTTACATCAAATACAGAGCTTAGCTTTACTCATCAAAGTGTCATAATCTGTCTACTATTTCTTTTTTCTTTTAACAGCTGGGTCTCTGAATCATATAATTGAAGAGGGCTAAAATTCTTTATGGACTGGAATTTACCTTTTGTACATATAGGCATATTTTAAAAACTCATACTGTTGTATTTTTTAAAAAACACAATTTGTGAAATCGACAAAATGCTTTTCATATCTTACAGAAGTGATTGCAATTACTGGGTCTCCAAATGCCATTCTGTGCATCTAACTTTCATGGATCCCAGGCATACTTAGGTAACCCATACTGTCCTATTTCTTGGCTGTCCTGGTGAGTGGATAAACTGCTACAAGGGCTGCTGGCATAAATGACTAGAAGGTCTTTCATTAACAACACAGAGTGCATTTAAAAGGATTTCCCAAAAGTCGGAGAGAGGAACTCAAGCTCATTAAAAAATGTGATTGTTTCAAGAAAATGAGAAGTCATCTTATGCTCAGCATGGGCCTTAGCAGGAGCTGCTTGACATGGTTTTGAGGGAATTGCCTTATCTTCCTGATTGGGCCTCCTTCCTGATCTTTTTCTTGGGGCAACAAAAGCCTTGCCAGGCAATAACTAGCTTTATTGATGCATGAGTTATTCTGTCCTTTGGAACAGATGTTGTATCACAGGGGACCATCATTCAAACAGCAATTTTAAATACTTGAATCACACCACAGAATCATAAATTATTAACATGACTCCACATTGTGATTCTGAAATGTAAAGACGAGAGAAAAACGCAGAACCGGAGAGTGATTGAAGTGGAGAAATGCCAAAGTTACCCAAACACAAAAGGAGCATCCAATTATGAGAAACAGATCACTAAATGAAAAATTAAATGTTACTCTGTTGGATTTTTTTTTTCCCCTTACTTACAGAATCACACTTTCAAAACTCAGCCCCACAAAAGAATTCCTTTCAATTGTGTGGATGTTTATGTTATCTTGAATGTCTCTAGAAGAAAGTACAGACAAATAAGATATTTACATCAGCTCTACTCATGTAACCTTCCAACATTTAGTTTAACTGGCATGATGTGGTCTTTAGCTGAGGTAATGTATTAATATAATTAGTTGTTGTTAAGAAGATGGTCAGCTCATCAGCTCAAAGTTTGGAGAAAAAATTGTCTCTAATTTATCTTTAGTATGTTCTTACAAATGGAATTGCAGACATTCAGTGTCTTTTTTTTTTCTTTCTTTTTTATTTGAGACAGGGTCTCTTGCTCTGTCACCCAGGCTGGAGTGCAGTGGTGCCATCACAACTCACTGTAGCCTCAACCTCCCAGGGTCAAGTGATCCTGCCACCTCAGCCTCCGGAATAGCTGGGACTACAGGTGTGCACCACCACGCCTAGCTGATTTTTGTATTTTTTCGTAAAGTCAGAGTTTCACCATGTTGCCCAGGCTTGTCTCAAACCCTTGTGCTTAAGCGATCCGTCTGCCTTGGCTTCCCAAAGTGCTGGATTATAGCCATTGACCACTGTGTGTGGCCCACTTTTTTCTTCTGAAGGTTTTCTTAAATAATTTCACCTTAATGTAACAACACTTAAGTTGACCTTTCACCTCCTGTCTAACTTCTTTGGTTATCTTAGTTGGGCCTTCTCCTCATGTCAACCCCCTTCTTACAACTAGTTTCCTTCTGACTATTTTCCTTGGGTCTCCGAATGGTTTTATCATTGATTTTTATTTTTCTGAATGAAAGGATGAGGAAAGTCTCCTTTTCTGTTTGTATTCCTTATTTCCCCCATCAATCATCCCTGTTAGGTCTGATCTAACATGTAGAAGTAAATATGGAAGTAACAGCTGCAGAAGTAATGTAGTGAACAGCTTGGAACAATTTGAGAAATTCTGAAAGATTTTCGTATTTTCTTCTTTCTCTTCTCCCTCCCTGCTTAGCTCCTTCCTCTCTCCTAACACCTTACACCCCTTCCGCATCTCTTCTTTTGGATCTGTCCATATTCTTACAATTTCACTCTTGGAAATAATTGCCATTATATGCTACCTTTCCTCTTTCTTTTTCAAAATACAAATACCTTGGGAAAAGGCAAACACAGCCTGTCATTAACTCTTTAATGTGAATGTGTTAGATAGTTTCTTTGTGCCCAGGGCAGCATAGAAATTCTAGAAGGAGAGGATAGGATGCTGGCATAGAGGGGGTGTTGTGTATGTGTGTGGAGGGCAGTAATTAAAGCACCAAATAGTGAAAAAATGAGCAACTTTTTGATTTTGCAATATGCTGGTTTTGTGAACAATACTCTTATTGAGGGGTCTGTCAATTTCCTCCAAACTGATATTGACTGGCCTGCAGGTAAAATCAAAGACCTCACTTCTGGCCTCAGAGCAATGCCTTTGGAGGTTGTAGACGACACAACGCATATTAAAGACCCAGATGGCCGTTGGGCAAGACAGATACTGAGTAAACAGTTGGTAGTCACTCAAGGAAAAAACTTACAGTAAAACCTTTTGGAAAGAATGAATCTTGTGAACATCTGGAAGGTGCTTAATACCTGTGTTGGATATTAACCTAGAGAGAAACAAAATGAGAGTTAGTGAAAATGAATGGCTCTAACACTTGTTAGAGCATGAACTTTCCAGAATAAAAATATCAATTTTGAACCATCAGAAAAAACCTACGAGAAAAGCCCATATATACCTGAATTATGCTCATGTTTTCTATTTTAAGGTTCATTCCAGGGTCTTAAAAGCTGTTGATTCCTTAGAGAAAAGAAACTTACACTTCAGTCACAAGAGGATTAGGATGCCACAGTATACATTAAAAAAAAAGTAAAGATTGATAAGTTAATCTGACCCTAAAGCAACTTCCATCTAGTAACAACATTTCTTAAATTTTCCCTTATTTCATCCTACTTGTTGGAAAACTCCCTTCTCCACTCAAAGTGATTCTCTTGGGATTACAGCATGAGATTCCATGCCCTATGACCCTAGGGTATGCATATGACCTAAGTTGGACCAATCAGACTCTCTCCTGGGAAGTGATTAGAGGTTGGTTAGAGCTTCTGCTGTCATTATCCTTAAGAGATGGTATTAAATTTCTACAGCTGAAAATTTCAGACCTACCCTGGATCCTTCCCAAGGTCTGGCTGTATTGGCCTGGCTTCCCCAGGAAGCAGAACCTGAGAAGAAGGCTAGCTATTGGTAATATAGTTGATAGCATGTTTTCAGAGCATTCAGGACAGGGAGTGAAACTGGAAGGAGGTGAAGCTAAGCAATACTACCGCTACTGGTGATTAGTTCCTAATCCCAAGGACTTGATTTAGGATGTTTAAAAAATGGACCTCAGAACTGTTGATCTGAGTGAGGGAGAATAGTGAAGGAAGGATGTGTCCATAGAACTCCTATTTCCTATTGGTGAAAGGTGATCCTATGGTGTTAATTCCTCACTTATGGCTTGCACATTTGTAAGCACCCAGTGAGTTCCTGATGGGCATCTCTCACAGTGGTGCCCGCGAAGCGCCAGAGTAGGAAGTGAGAGGTCTACAAAGATAGGCTGGGTGTCATCCAGTTGCACTTGAATGAAGTTGGATGAAATTTGGGTGGAACTGGCTGCCACAACAATGGTGAGGGTTTTTACAGGCACACACGAATTATTGGACACATTGTTCTTTGTCATTTCCCTCACTCCTGTGAGTTACCTGAAATCCTTATACTACCTCTCTACTCCCATTTCCCTTTTCCGTATGTGACTTACTTAAGCTGAAGGTGGTGATAGTTGCATGCAACCTAAAGAACCCTCATTGATATATTCATCATTGTGAAGGGCCATATGTCCTTTTGAGGTTATGACTCAAGAAGATTTGGTGCCTTGTTCTCTGCTTCTGTATTTGGAGAGGAAGTGAATGCAGTCTGTGGGTTCTCAGTGATGGTTCTCAGATTTGTTTTTTCTTTTTTCCTCTTTTGATTCCCTAATGTCCACATAGAAGCTGTCTTGGGCAATTCTTTTAATTACTTCAACAGACCTTGAGTTGGTCTCCCTCTGCTTTTTATCTAGGAAAAGAGGTTCTTTTCTGAAGGATTTGTTGTGTTGTTAATGTGCTGAAAAATTATATACAGAAAAATAAACTCTTTTTCAGTGTAGAGGTCCATGAGAGTAAGACAAATACATATAGCTCTGTAACCATGAGCTCAATACAGACATGGAATAGTGCCACCACTTTCTAAATTCCCTTGTGTTTCCCCTTTGTAGTTCATCTCTTCATCTACTTCATATCCCTGGCAACCACCGATCAGTTTTCTGTTTCTATAATTTTGCCTTTTCCAAAATGTTACTTCAATGGAATCATCTATGATGTCCCCCACTACAGCCCAAAGATGCTGTCCACACCACACAGCCACTGCCCGGGCAGTGGGGAGGGGTGGTGTCAGTGATTCAGGACTGTCTTTTCTATCTTCAGTGCCTCTTTCAGCAATAGGAAGTTAAAACCAGGTACTGTGAGTGCTCACTTTATTTTTAGTTCTCATGAAGGTTTTTTTTTTTTTCTTTCCTGTGTAGAGAGCTGCTAATTTGGTGTCTTTGCATGGGAGACAATTGGTGGAACTTTCTATTCACCCTCTTGCTCTGTCTCTATCAGTGGAATCATCTAGAGTGCAACTTTTGGGTCTGGCTTCTTTCACTTAGCCTAACTCCCTATTTCTCTTTCTTCTTTCACAGCAAAGCTTCTAGAAAGAGTTGTCTGCACAGACTGTCTTCATTTTCTCATATCCCATTGATCTTCAACCTGCTCCAATCTATTTTCATCCCATAACTCGTAACTGAAACTGTGATCGTCATGCCAAAGTCTACAAACTCACTAACTACCAAATGTAACAAACACTTTAAACTTTAAACAGTCACTTTATTAGCCTCTCTGGATCATTTAGTATTTTTTTCCAGACTCTTTTCTATTGATTTCTGTCATTTTGCACTCTTTTGTTTCTGCTCCTTCTCCTATTACTCCTTTTTAGCATTCTTTGTTGATTCCTTTTCCTCTATTTGTAGTCTGGGCCTTTTGTATATCTTCTCTATAGTCTCACTACATAGATCTTGCTTCCTGTGATTTTAAGTAGTATCAATATTGTGACTCCTAGATTCATACTTGCTCTCTGACCTCGCTAGTCTATTGCTAATTAAAGCTTACTTTGCATATCCTCCTGAATGTCTCATTGACATAGCCAACTAAACTTGTTCCCCCCATTATCATCTCCACCAAATGGCTTCTTCGCAATTATTCTCCATAGATAGAATTGCCATCCATCAATTTTAATTTGACAGTTAAAGTTGGCTTGGCTTCTTCTTTCTCACGTTCCGACATCCAGCCCATCTCAAAGTCCTCTTAGATTCCATTTCCAAAATATGTCTTGGCTCTATGCAGTTTTGTCCATCTCCACTGACACCATTCCCAAAAGACCCTCTGAATGTCTGCAATATTATCCTCCTCTTCTTTTCCAATGCATTCTCCATACAGGGCTCTGGGCATTCTTTTCAAAAATGTAAATCAGATTGTTTTACTCCTTTGCTGTTAAGGCTTTAGTTCTTTCCCATAAAACTTAGAGTAAAATTTATACTCCTTATTGCCTACTCTTGCACCTTTAGATTATGCAATTTCTCCAGTGTGTTTTAGCCCCTGTGGCTTCCTCTCAGTTCCTCAACTATATTAAGTTCTTTCCTTTCTCCAGATATTTGCATGTACGTTCTCTAGAAGGCTAACCATCCATTCTTCACCTGGCCAACTTCAACTCACCCTTCAGAGTTTAGTTACACATGTCATTTCTTCAGAGAGGAGCTCCATATATTCTAATCTAAATTAGGGCCCCTGATTTATTCTCAATATGACTGCATCTGTTTCAGTACTCCTTAAAACTCTGAGCCATATATTATTTTGTGTTATTTATCCAATGTATGCCTCTTCAACCAGATTGTGAATCATATGAGGGCAAGATTCATGGTTTTCCTGAAAACCCAATGTTGGCACAGTAGTTGACGCATATAATGTGCTCAGTGTTTGCCAAGCTCTTTATGCCAGGTAGTATGCTATGTGTTGTCAAGAGATGAACTCACAAGGAATTATTCACTGCCTATGTTTATTACAGCTTACTCATTCAACGTTATATGGGTAGCAACTTCCCCATCTCTCTTAGTGAATGAATAAGTTTCATATAATTGAAAGAATGAAGAATTCATGATTGCTCAATAATAAAGTTACAAGTGCATCATTTAACATCAATTGCATGAGCTTCCATAGCCACTGTACTTATGGAATATCTATAGATATCTGTAGATGCACATTGAGATCTTTGGTCTTTATAGGAAAGAAAACACACTGCAAAAAATGACTAAAATTATTCCAGTAGTGCTGAGTTTAAGGCACTTAAAAAGATCTAGTGACCATCAAGTGAGATGGATTATTGGTGATAATTCTGTAGCTGAGACTCTCTATAACCCCAAGATAATACAGGAAATGGAGTTCGGATGAACTCTTAGTTTTCAATTCATTTTTCTCCTCTGATCAATAAATTCATGTCTGATGGAGGCTGGAAGTGGGTAATCAGCTAGGAACTGTATGTCTCAATGGGTTTGCTTTTGTCAAATGACTGTTTGCTGCAAAATTATTTTGATTCACTCAATCGTGGTTTATCTTCAAAAAACAGTAACGGCCTGAGGGTAAAATGTCAGTGAATTTAAGTTCTGCAAATGAGTCTTTTAAGGAAAGGTAACTGACTCAGAGTTTTCCCTCTCTACAGTCAGTTTTACATTCTAAGCTGGTGTTAGTGTCTTTCATGTCTGATTGTCCTTACTCTTTAGGTTGTAATAATTAAAGTGAGCTTCTCTCCCATCAGGATAAACTTAGTGGGGTCCTGTAATTGCTGAGAACCATTCTCACCTATTGTGCCGTAGGATAATATGCTTGCCTTTCATAAACAGGTGACCCTGAGACTCTGAGGCTCGTTGTCCTAAACATCATTAATGCTTTTATTAAGCTTCAGTAGTGTTGATGGGCTCTTATTTTTTCTTGAGTTAACAGGGTCTGTGTTTGCTTGTGTTGCACTGGACTATGTGCCATCCTTCCAATAAAATCTCTATTTTATCCAAGGAGGAAGCCAGAGACAATGTGCTGGTTTCAGGGAGTTTGTGAGTGAGTTAAGACGAGCACAGGTGAAACACTCAGAATGGTCTAGTGGCAAACTGTGTGCTACTGATTGTGAATGCCTTATGAGTTCAGAGAAGGGGCTGGAGGAACAATATGGGCTGGAGTACCCAAGAACTGCTTATAGGAAGAGGAAAAAAGTCAGGTGTCTTAGAAAGTACAGAGCCTTTTGGCCTAAACTAAGAGTAGCAACTGTGCATATCCAGACCACACAAGGTGGATGAAAGGACGGGAAGCAGAGAAAAATAAAATTAAAAGGCAAGGAGGAAGCAGGATTCCAGAAAATTTAAAGCTAGGTAAAAAAGCGTGGTAAATAAGCCATGGGCTTGATGGGCAAGCATTAGAAGCCACTTTATGGAGTTGCAAGGGGAAGCAAGAATAC